CATAACTAAATTTTGGGTGGAAAAATTGTTCCAAAATTGGATAACTTGCTGCTTTTGTTTTTATTTCTCGTCTTTTTTTTTTTTTTTTGCTTTTTTTCTTTGAGAAAGCATGGAAGATTTTCATTTCCCTTGTGATTCTCATGAGCTCAAATCATCTCTCTGCCCAAGTCTGCTATGTCTGCCCAGGGATTTCTCAGTCCCAGCGATCTCACTCTTACATTCCTCTTCTCTGTTGGAGACTCAGCAGAGGTGCAAGGGAGCACTGTACCTGTGTATCTGCTTGGTAGGACATCTCAGGGGAGCAGGGATGTGTTTCTTGAGACACACACATCTCTAGCTTCTTCTGTCTTCAGTAGAAAAATAAAGGGGGTTTTGTTACATTGAAAGTAACTCCATTTTTTTCTTATCTCAGTCTAATAAAGTTTGTTTGGAAAAGTTCCTCTGTTATTCCCACAGAGAACCTGGAGGTGCTTGTAAGATTGTTGTTAATTTTTTTCTGTGAGGCATAGGCTTATTTTTGTCTTTCCTCTTCCAAGTTAATTTTTGTGATGGAGAAGTATTAAGGCCCCTAACTTTGGGGAGAGGGTTTTGAAAAATAAAACCAGATCCTAGAACTACTGCTGCTGTGTATACCGTCAGAGTAGCTCAGGACTGAGGACAGATACATTTAACAGACGGCTCCCAGGAGCCACGAATGGCGCTTTCTTCTGTGATTGCATTAAATGGGTGATTTTTTTTTTCTCACATATTAACACTTCAGTCATTAATGAAATAACAGTTTTCTGCATGCTGTGTTCAGGGTTAACAAAAGATGATGAGAGCGCCTTCTACAAATAGTGAATGAGCTTTTCATACTATAGCCAAGGTGCAGGTGGGGATGGAGTAGTGGTACGTTTCAGTCTCTTGGATGCCGACCTGGTGAGCACTGGGCTCGGAGGGCGGTTCTGTGAAAAGCTGAGATCTCATCTTTGAGTGACACCTTCGAACCATGTATGGCGGCAGATCCTGTACATCCCGTAGATCCTGTTGAACATAATTTCAGGCTGGGAAAAGAGAATCAGGAATTCCCCACATGATCTGGAACTGGAGGTGGGGTTTGGGGGTAGGTGGGGGGATGTGGGGAGAGGGGTTACTCTCCAGATAAGAAAAAGACCTACTGCTGACTAATTATAGTTTTTTTTTAGGACTGCAGGAAGAAAATAAGTGTTAAGGTTACTGCTTTGACTTTGATGTTAAAGACCCAAATTTCATTTAAAGAATTTATTCTTGGGCCGGCTGAGTGGCGTGTTGGTTAAGAACTGGCTTGGGATGCCAGAGGGCCCTGGTTCGGATCCCACATATGAGGGCCAGTGACACTGCCCTCTGCAGCTAAGATGCTGAACAGCAGCTCAACCTGGAGCTGGGCTGCCATGAGTCGCCGGCGACGGCGTAGGCTGCAGTCCCTGTTGCAGTGGGTTGCCATGGGCTACCGTGTGTAGCCGGCAGCCAGCGTGAGCTGCCGTCCAGAGGCCAGCGACTGATCTGCTTCGCCTGGGAAGAGTGCAATGATGGTGCCATCTTGGGCCAGTGAAGCAACATCCTCCACAACTAGACTGAAGAACAAAACAATAGCAACTTGTTTGTTCCCTTTCCCCTAGTTCCTCAATAAAATCTTTTTTTAAAAAAAAAGAATTTATTCTCCAATCTGAAAAATGTCCAGTGGCTTTGGTTAGGGTCCCAAAACATGTATGTTCTGCCCCAGATTGGTATTATTTATTGGATAGAAGTTTGGCGCAGGGATGAAGGTGATTTTCACTCAGCTATGCCTTTTTCTTGAGTGTATGTGTTGCCTTACAGCTTCATCCTCCACGGCCCCCCCACACCAGCCCCTGACCTAACAAGGTCACGAGGGAGTGTCTCAAAAAACTAAGACCGGTAAAATGATATCAGTAAAGCTTCCTCAAGGGAGTGTCCTAAAAAACTGGGACCCGGCAAAATAATGTCGGTTATCTCCCTTACTTTATGGCCGCAGCAACAGCTGCACCATCCTGGGGGTTGTGTGTGTGGGAGTATGTAGGCACAGCAGGTGTTGGAATACAATGGAGCTGGTTGATGGAAACTGGCCTTACAGCACTTATCACACGGACTTGAAAAACAAAGTTTCTCTTCTTTAAAGTTTCTTATTAAAAGCTATGTGTTGGCTTGATTAGGGACTCAGAGAGAAAGAGAGAGAGAACTACAGTCCCCTGGCCTCATGTCTTAACTCTGTCATTGTCTCTTGTGTTTCTTTAACCCTTCGCCATCCCCTCTGACTCCTCACTGTCTGTGCAACACGGGACATGACACGTATGCTTTGTGTTTTTCAGGTCTTCGGTGTCACACTCGACAGCCAAACCACCTCCCCCAGTGCTGACCCCGGTGGCTGCTAATAACCAAGCCAAGCAGGTAAGTTCCTGATTTTTGCTTTGTTAACAGTCATGCAGCGACTGTCTCTGTAACTAAGACAACCCTGTGTTAAGTCATCGCTTTGCTTTAAATGAACTCTTAAGTCTAACAAAGCCCTGTGAGCCCTTTCCCACATTTCATGCCCGTGTTGACATAGCTGGTCAGGACCTGGTATTATTTCATAGACCATTTGGCATTCTGCATCTAGTAATCTTGGGTCATAGTTCTAACACCTTATGTTTTTGTGGGGTATTTGGATTTTCAGTTTAATTTAACGTCATCTTAGTTAACCCATTCAGCAACCATGTGCAATACATAGATAAAACAGGTGTTCAGATATGTTCCACAAACGGAGAAGCCGAGGCTCACGTGACTGATGAAAGCACACAGTTAGGAAATGGTGAGGGTAGGTTCTCTTGCTTTCTCCTGCAGTTTGTTTTTCAGAGCTTGCCTATTCAGTGATGTTTGTGATGTGTACTTTCAGGCTTTTGTCTGATAAACATTGTCTCCTACAAAAATAGGTTATATGTCAACAGTTAAACAGTCTAAAAAAAAAAAATAGAAGATGGCTGAGAGGTAGATCAATCTATCTGAAACTTTCCCTGAGAAAACCTGGTTTCTCTGCTACTCGTACATCTGTCTCTGAGAAAAGTAACATTAAGTTGTGTTTGAGGTTGGACATCAGAACTTGCCTATTGGCGTGCTCAAACGTGGCTCCCTATTGCTTACTTTGCTGTGACTTAAAATGGCACTTAAGCATTTAGCGTTTGGTCATTCTCCTGGAAGTTGCCATTTCACCTTGGAGGACACAGGGTAAGGCATAAATCGTAATGAACAAGTGTAAAAGAACATTGAATGGCGGTGGAGAAGTTGAAGAGTTCTGCTTTTTCACCTTATTATCAATTGATTGAGAGTCAGACCCATTTCACTCATTTACTTCTTCATTCATTTGTCTACCAAATATTCCAGGGCCCTTTATGTGCCAAGCACTATGCCAGGCACTGAGAAAATAGCCACAAGCTAGACAGGCATGACCCTGCTTTCTCGGTGCTTCCAGAGTATTCCTATTTCTGTTTCCTAATACCTTACACGTGGCAAACATTAAAAAATATTGACTTAAATTGAAACTTTAAAAAAATAATTAAACTAAATTAGAGTGTTTATGCTTGCTGATTATGAACTACATTATCATTTTCCATGTTCCTTTGGAGTAAACGTTGGCCTGTGTTCTGTTACAGGGTTCGGTAATAAATTCCCTAAAGCTGCCTGGGCCCACACCAACCTCCAGCCAGTTGTCATCCAGTGATAAAGCTGCGGGTCAGTTTGCATTTTTGTTTTAGTGAAAATAAAGGTGAAAGAAATGTCCCACAATAGAGTCTGTTGTTAGATCCCAAACACAGTCGACATAGGAAATCAAGTAAAGAGAGATTCAAAAGGCCTCAGTTGATGAAGAATCTCCAGGAAATTAGTGAGCCCTTCGGCAGTTCGGCAGACTTCTGAAACTTGAGAGCAATAGTCAAAAACCTTCCTCTAAATGTTTTTCCTGAAAAGGAGCAATGGTGTTGTTTTCACCAGCCTTGCTGGGTAATCGGTTCGAGAGGGTGGGTGGGAACATTGGACTCTCTATTTCTTCCACTAAAATGAAAAACTCTTTGTTCACAATGACGATTCAAAAGCCAGTCATACAAAAAGGCAAACAATCTGTTGCAACCTAAGATTTCAGAGTAGCTGTTATGTCAATATTAAAAGATTTTATGGCTTCACATATCCCAACACTCACTCGGCATAATGACTAGCTGAAGTTAATCTTCACCGTGGCCGTGCTTTGATGAGGCCAGCCTGAAGCAGAAGCGTGCTTCTGTGTAACCTTGCTTGAACGCGGGCTCTTCCCCAGCACCCCCTTTTGCTGGCCCCTTTTTCATAGCCCGCTTAGTTTGGCATGTGCTACTTTCTGCTGGAGGGATCGTGGGCCATCTGCAGTCCTGTGTCTTCCCCACACTCCGGACTCTGGCTTTTATTTTGATTGATGTTTTCACGTTGGTCTTCAGGCTAATTCTGTTAGAGAAGCTGAACTTCACATATTAGCAGGCTGCTTTCCATAATCTCCTCAGTTACACAATCATCTGACTTTCTCTGTGACCAAAAGCTTTCTGATTGGCTGTTGGGTTTATCTTCATTAAATACCCCTTGCACTCGGAAGAAAACCATTATTGTGTAAGCCAAAGTTGTATTCTAGAATTTGGATGAATGCAGAAGCATAGGTGTTACCATGGAAGCCACACACAAGGAGGAGATAGATAGCCCTTCTTGGCGAGCATCTAAAGCTGCATGTCAGAGGGGAGATCTTAGTGGAATCGTCAGACTTTTGAATCATTTAGGATTCCGATTAAGAGATTTGTTTCCATTTCTGGCTAATATTAGAAAAATTTTTTGAAATCCTAACTTCTTTCGAGGACATACTGGAGAATTTTTGTCACTTCTGAAGTGGAGAGTCAGGGTATTCTAAGGGACTTTATTTCCTGCATATCTTATGCTGTTAGCATGACATACAAATTAGCTTCTGAGGACCATCCTTCAGTGATTGTGAAATATCTCGTTCATTGCTAGGTATTTACTTCTGTATTCACTCGCTGGATAATCAAAAGAAAAGAACCTTTCTGGGTGTAGGAAGATTTCCCTGAGAAATGCTATTTAAGAATTTCCCAAAAGTTTCTTTAAAAAAAAGTATATCTGAAACCCCTACAGAGTAGCTGTTATTTACTAATAATGGAGTACCTTCATTGTTTCTTTGATTATGAAACTATTACAGGTCCACGAAAGAGTCTGGTGTCGAGATAATGTAGAAAATGGAAGCTGCCCAATAAGTTCCATATTCCAGAGATAACCCTTTACAATTTGATATGTATCTCTTGAGGTTACAGCAGTGTTGTTTTTTAAACAAAAATAGGCATATCCTGTATATATTGATTTATAACCAACCTCTCCTTCTCTCTCCCCCCTAACAATAAATATCCTATCCATCTTTCCAGATCTGCGACAGCTCTTCCCCCCTTATTTTAATGGTGGCCTCGGACTTTATTATACAATTGTACCCTATTAAGTTTTACCAATAGTCTGCTGATTTAGATTGTGTCTGAGTTTTCAGGATTCTAAGCAACACGACATTGAATATCCTTGTACACACATTGTATTATAGTCGTTTTAAAAATAATTTTACTAATATTTACCGCATACTCGCTTAGAAAGAAGGTACTTACTTCTTTATTGTTTGGTTTGGTTTGAGGTTTTTTTTTTGTTGTTGTTGTTTTTTTAACTTTATGAGAAGGAGGGGGGGGGAGAGAGAGAGAGAGAGAGCAAGCTGGTTTGGGTTTTTTTAAATGTAGTTTTTCTCATTCCCCTACTCCCCTACTCCCTTTAAAAGTAAAGTAATAGGGGAAAGACTGAAGATAATACGCCAAGCTGTTAATACGTAGTTACAGTGAAATTGAATGTGGAGAGGATGATGCATTGCACTTTATAACTTTCTGCACTTCTCTGTATTCTAGCAATCATGTATTACCTCTGTAATTTAAAAGGGGGGGGACTATGTTAAATACATAGAATTATGTGGAAAATACAGAAATGTAGGGAGAAAGCAAATAGTCATGAAGCCACTACTCAGAGATATTTAGTTAATATAACCTATTTCTCTTTGGAGTTTTTTCCTTTAGCATATAGTACTTTTCAGTAATTATAAAGCTACTTTTACAGCTTTAAGTTTTAACTCCCCTGGAATTATTTTGATCTCTTCCTGTCGCGTCCCGCGCAGAAAAGGGCGGTGGGCAGCAAGAGGGGCGGCGCAGGTTAAAGAAACACAAGAGTTACGGGTAGGGTTCAAGCGGGGGCAGGGGGCTGCAGCCTCTCTGGGACTGAGCCCCGAATCGGGCCAACGGCGTAGCTTTTATTAAGAAACTTCAAAGAAGTGAAACTTGTTTTTTCTAAAGTCCATGTGATAAGTGCCGTAAGGCCAGTTTCCATCAACCAGCCCCACTGTATTCCAACACCTGCTGTGCCTTCATACTCCCACACACACAACCCCCAGGATGGTGCAGCTGTGTCGCGGCCATGAAAATAAGGGAGATAACTGACATCATTCCGGCCTCAGCACTCCGAGACATTCCCTTGAGGAAGCTTTACCGATATCATTCCACCGGGTCTCAGCATGCTGAGACACTCCCTCATGACCTCATTCGGTCGGGGTTGGTGTGGGGCGGGGGCGGTCGGGGATGAAGCTGTAAGGCAACATCTTCCCTGGAAAGGCGCATGTGACATGTCTCGGTTTGGAGTTACCAGTGACAGAACCAAAGGGCAAGTTCAGAGACCGTGAGCGTGACTGAGGCGGCCCGGTCCCCGTGGGTTGTCACCTGGTCCTGGGATGCACATGAGGCACACAGACCTGGAGGCATGCTCTGAGAGATTTACATACTGGAACAGTGTTTCTGTTTTTTTGTAACGTTCTTGTTTTTTTCCACAATTTCAGGACCAGGGGCAACCAAGATAGAAACAGCTGTGACTTCTACCCCATCTGCTGTTGGGCAGTTCAGCAAGCCTTTCTCATTTGCTCCATCAGGGTTAGTAATCGACTTCAATTTTGTGGCAGGTCATTAGCAGCCTCATAGATAGCTTCTCCAGCTCTTACAATCAGGAGGTGTGTTTATATGCTTATTAAATGTACGTGAGCCCAACGTCCTTACTACTGCAGTGAGACATCAGATGATAGTGATAGTAGCTTAATGTCCTAACTTAAATCTGTTTCTCCTTTTCGATGCAAGTTTATATATGTGTTAGTACATATTCATTTATTTGTTGGGTAAGCCTCATTTTCTTTGGGTAGTGGGTCTGTGTCAAATTCGGCAGTTGATCTGTTTTCTCATATTGAGATTTTCATTCTGACACTATTTGGGGGCTAGAGGTGATATTTGGATGGGCTTTGCTACACTGAGAGGACAATATACTGAACTTCTGAGAGCAGGTGCTCAATTCACCTTGGAGGGAGTCTGCCCATGCTGGAACCTATCACAGCTGCCCAAGCGTCCACTTTCCTCAGAGGTGGAGTTAGACTGTGTGGCTAAGACAAAAACCTGCCCAAAGATTTTTTGCCATTGAAGGGTTGTGTGTTCAGTCCCAGTAGAAAAGCCTCTTAAGCTCTTCAGTTTATGCTTTTATAACTGGAACCATGTAAACCATATTAAGAGAAAAGTCTCTTTTCTCTGATGTTAGTATGTTTCTTGAGCATCCTTCAGGCCTGTCACGTTAAAGAGGGTGTTGGAGTAGAATTTGAGGGAGGAAATTATATATTATTATTATTTTCTTTATTGTAAATCATTATGTTTTACATTTCTAAGGATAGTTTGGAACAGATTTTAAGGAGTAGGTCACAGGAGTTATTACATCTTTTACAAACACTGATAATCTTTACTTCTGTGAACTGATAACTCTTCTTCCCATTTTTAAAATAAGCTAAAATGGTTTGGGTCATTCGGTCAATGACTTACCTCTGTTAGACAAAATTTCTTCAAGGTTGAGACAAAGAAAGGTTTTTCTTTTAATAAGAAAATATTTAATATCATTTTAGATGGTCTTTGTCTATTCGACAAGACCAATGATGGGTTAAAAAAAATCTAAATTCTTTCATTACTTATTATATTTGATATGCTTGGTCTCTTGTATTTTAAAACTGTATCATTTTAAATTTGCTATTTGAGCTTTTATCACAGTGCATAGTCTATTCTGGTTCACACTTGTGCTGAATTTTCTTCTTTGGCTATGGTGTCTTTACTCACAGTGTAAGGAGAATGTACGGAAGGAGAGAAGTAATGATAAAAGGAGTCAGAAAAGTTCTTGACATTTTCCTAACCCAGAACTAAGAGTTGTGTCAAAACGGCAGGCACAGTGGCTTCTGTTTCATGCTCTCCTCATCTCCTCTGGTAGCATGGCGCTCCCCTGACATACTCTGATGTCGGGGTGGGTTATAAGAGGTTCTCTCTAACCCAGACTATCTCATCTCCTTCACTAGACAGACCACGTGCTCTAGCCACCATTCTCACGTGCACATTCCTAGTGCGTTTCTGCTGTTCCATTGCCTTCCTTGGACTCCTTCAACCTTGGGTCCCCGTGCAGACCTCTGCCACCCAAACCCAGCCATGCCTCCAAGGCCCTCTCCACTGCCACTCCCTCTTACCGCCCCCACAAATGACCTCTCCCTGCTTAGAAATCTTGGAGGGACTTTGCTGCTTCACAGATAGGTGCATTTATCTTCTAGATTGTAAATTCCTTGAGGGCAGATTCTGTAAATGAATTATAAAATGTGGTATTAAAAGGGCAACATTGTGCCTTAGGTTTGCTCTTTTTAACTTCTCTTCTTCCACTCCCTAGGACTGGCTTTAATTTTGGGATAATCGCACCAACACCGTCTTCCAATTTCACTGCCACACAAGGTACAGTCTCTGCATTGCGTAGCGTTACTTTTGTGTTTCCCTAAACACGGGCAGGTTCTTTTGGTACAGACGTGTCGACATTTTATTGCTGCTGAGTTTTGCATAAAGTATCTGCAGTAAATTTAGTGTTGATATTATGCATCAGAAACAGGCTGGATTTAAGAAGCTGCTGGGAAGGCCTTCTATCTACCTTTATTATTAGTAACAAGGGTTTTATTATAGGAAGCCATCTATGTCCTAGAATCACACATCCTACCCCTCACTCATTACCATTTCAGTTCTGTTTCCTTCTGGGGGTTTTGTTTTCCGCTTTATTTCACTTAGCACAATCTCTTGTGAGTTTTCCAGTATTATTGAAATCTTATATAAAAGTCATATTTAACGGCAACGTTTTTCTTTCTTCTGGATGTGCCGTAATTGGCGTAACCACCTGTTGGACATTCAGGTCGTTGCCCAGTTTTCCCTGTAGTGAGAAACACAGTGACCATCTTGTACCTGTTCATTCAACAAATACTTTTTGAGGCCTGGCCGAGTGGCTCAGTTGGTTAAGAGCTCGCTCAAGAGCACGAGCTCTGAGCAACAGGGTGGCCGGTTCCATTCCCAGCCTGAGCTGAGCTGCCACCAAGCTGCCAATGGGTGGCAGGATGGCTCAGAAAAAAAAAATTTTTTTTTGAGGGCTTTCTGTGTGCCAGCCCAAGTGGTAGAAGGCTTTTCGTAAAAAAGGGACCTCCTAAAGCCTCCTAGAAGGAGATTAGGGAGTTGAAAGCATAGCAGACTCCTAAACTCAATCTGTGCAGCACTTACAGCGTTGTCGATTTCATTCCGTTCTCTTTGGAACAGTTTTGCTTAAACATTTTTTTTAACTTCTGCCCACTTAGATGTGGCCCTCGCGGCCCACCTTCCCCCAGTCACACTCTTGAGGAAAAACAACTCAGTAATATAAATAGATTGGAGAGGAGCAATCAAAATCAGCCCAAAAATTGGAAATAAAATAAAATAGTAATAAAATACAGCAGCAGATCTATAAACATTTTCATTAATATGAAAATAGACAACAGTCCAAAACCATAAATAACTCAGTACAACACCAGTGATCCAAAGAGGTCTTTCTGGAAATTACACACAGATAGCAGTGGCTTTGCAGTGTTCCTAGGAGTTTGTGATAAGCAGACTCCTTAAAACAAAATGGAGTTAGGAAGGCCAGTAACACTTGCAGTAGGCTAAGTTTAGTTTCTAAGGAACACGTTTTAATTACCCTTACTTATTGATCAGGACTTGTGAGCGCTTTTACCTATGTTGCATTTAATCTTTGTGACAATTCAGCGAAATAGGTACTGTTGTTAATTCTATTTTCCAAATGGGGAACTTGAAGCCCAGAGAGGTAAAGTAACTTTTCCAAAACCACACAGCCAGCAAGTGGCTGAGCACCAGCTCTGGAGCCCATGGGCTTGACCACGAGATCAGACTCCCTCTGTAAAACTGCTTACTGAGGAGAACGCTAGAAAGTAGTCCTTAATTATAGGTAAAAATGATTGTCTGTGGATTGACACCCTATTTGCCCATTAAAAAAAAACAAAGGAAAAACTTGGATTTTGGACCAATTCCTGGTCTGTCAGGAGATCGATAGGCTAGCACTGTGCCAAGAATATTACTGAGGAAAGCGCGCGCAGGGGAAAACCAGTGAAGAGGCCTTTTTATGTCTCTTTTGGGATAGCATGTTAATTTCATGTAGCCTAGATATGGGGTATTTGTTGTGATACGGTCATAAAAATCGTAGTTGTCCTTTTCACCCCTGTGAGATGACTCAGACAGAGCTAATGTTCCTATGGAGAAGCAGTTATTCTGTCCTCCCTGAGGAAAACCACTGTTAGAACCAGCTCTCCCTGACTGCACCGAGAGAGGAGCAAGACAGGCTTAGAAATTGTCAGTGGAGATGCAATAGGTCATATTCTGCTAAATCCCACCCATCTCCTAATTTCTTTCTCTTCCTAGGGGCCACACCCTCTGCTAAAGAGTCAAACCAGCTGGACACATTCTCCTTCGCGGGGGGAGGCAAACCTCTGTACGAGACCCTTCCTGAAAGCTCCTCTCACTCACGAATGACACCGTCAAGCTCCAGTGGAGCTGCCACCACTTCTGCAGGCGAGTCAGCTCCATCAAGCAGCAGGCCTGTGGCACCTTCTGGAATTGCTGTCTCCACCCCTTCCAGCAAGTTGGAAACTCCGCCGTCCAAGCTGGGCGAGCTGCTATTTCCAAGCTCTCTGGCTGGCGAGACTCTGGGAAGTTTTTCAGGACTGCGGGTTCAGGCCGATGATTCCACAAAGCCAGCCAGTAAGGCTTCGTCCACAAGCCTCGCTAGTGCACAGCCAACCAAGACTTCACTCATGCCCTCGGGCTTTAATTTTACTGGCCCACCTGTGCTAGGGAAGCACACGGAGCCCCCCGTCACCCCCTCTGTGACTGCCACCACAATAGCCCCTCCAGCAGCAGCCGCCAGCACAAGCACCAGCAGCTCCACACCTGGCATCTTTGGCAGCCTGCCACCCACCAGTGCAGGCCCCCCTGGGGTACTCGGTTTTGGTGGGCTACCTCTAAGTGGTAGCAAGACGAGTTTTACATTTGGAAGCCAACAGGCTGGCAGTACAGTGCCCCTGTCTGCGCCCCCACCAGCCAGCACCGCCACGTCCCTCCCAGCATCGTTCCCCACCTTGTCATTTAGTAGCCTCCTGAGCTCCGCATCTGCTCCCACCCTGCCTGCGTCCTCTGCTAAAGGCGCAGAGGAGGCGGTAGCGCCATCTGTGCCCGAGAAGCCAGGCACCAGTGAGGTCTCGGCATCCACGGCCGCACTTCCCCAGGCTTCTCTGCAGACTCCTGACTCCGTGAAGAAAGAGCCTGCTCCTGCCCAGCCTGCAGGCAGCAGCCCCAGCACCGCCGCTTCTAGTGCCAGTCTCCCGGCACCTTCTACAGAGGCCATGCCAGCAGCCACCGTGGTCCCTGACATCAAGACAGAACCGACATCTCCTTCCACCCCTGCGGTGTCTGGGCTGACTGCTGTCACCGCAGCTGCAACCCCAAGTGCAGTCCCTGTGACCACAGAAGCATCGAGTGCCCCCACAACCTCCAGTGCTGTCCCCAGTGCCGCCCCAAGCCCCGCTACAGAGACGGCAGTGTTTGGGACTGTCACTTCGGGCTCATCCGTCTTTACTCAGCCACCTGCTGCCAGTTCTAGCTCAGCTTTCAGCCAGCTTACCAGCAGCACAGCCACTGCCCCCTCGGCCACCCCCACGTTTGGGCAGGTGGCGGCCAGCACCGCACCAAGCCTGTTTGGGCAACAGACAGGTAGCATAGCTAGCACGGCCACCGCAACGCCCCAGGTCAGCAGCTCAGGGTTCGGCAGTCCTGCTTTTGGCACCTCCTCCACAGGGGTCTTTGGGCAGACGACGTTTGGGCAGGCCCCGGCCTTTGGGCAGTCGACCAGCAGCCCCGCTGCGAGTGGCTTTTCCTTCGGTCAGCCTGGGTTCAGCTCCGGCCCCGCTTTCGGTCAGTCTGGGACCTCTTCCCCATCTTCCGGCGGAAATGTCTTTGGTGCCCCTTCGAGCACCAGCAGCCCCAGCTCGTTCTCCTTTGGACAGTCTTCTGCCAGCACGGGCGGGGGGATGTTCGGCCAGAGCAGTCCCCCTGCTTTTGGCCAGAGCCCCAGCTTTGGGCAGGGAAGTTCTATGTTCGGTGGCACCTCGGCCGCCACCACGACAGCATCATCCTCTGGGTTTAACTTTTGTCAAGCTTCAGGTAAGAATTTCTGGAAGATTTTTACCGTGTTCCCCTCTGTACTATGTGAAACATGTGCAATAAGCCTGTATTCCTTTCATAATTGAAAGAAAGGGGAAACAAAACAGGCCCCGCAAAGCCGAGAAGGGAGCTGCTAGCACTGCTGGTCCCGGGACTTGCTTCGGCTTATCCCTTAGCTCCCGTGTCATCCTCAGCATGCTGTCTACTCGGCAAGCCACCAGAGTGCCAGTTTTGTGGGCGGGTGGAGGAAAGTTGAAAGTCATGGCAAGGAGTGAATGACTCATAAATAGGAAATTCCTAATTTGGAAGGGACGTCAGAGGTTATTATGTCCCAAACCGTCCAGCCTTAAGATGACTGATCTGATGCTGTTTTGTGCTAATAGAACCAGAACCACACTCCAGGGCTCCTCACCCTAGTTCGTGGCCCGGCCAGCAGGCTCTGTTTCCTCTGACGCCATCTTGCTTGCTAGGGCAGATACTGACATTTGAAAAGTTCGGGGTTTTTTATTTTCAATGTTGTAATTAAAAAAAAACAAACACACATCTTTAAATTGTACTGTTTTTTTAAAGTAAAATTTAATTTTCCTGTTGCGTGTCCTGTTGCAGCAGCTCCTTTTCCTTCTAAAAGTTAGCCATAGACAGAACAATCTGAAAATCTTTTCTAAATCTCACTTTTTAATGGTTCTTATGAAAGGCAGTTCTCAGCAGTTCGGCCCTGGGGGGAAAAACATTGATTTCTTGGTGGGCAGGATTCCAAGTAACTGCTAATTCATTCCTTGGGTGGTAATTTATTTGAAAATGATTCATAATTTACTATAGAAAGGAAATCTTTTCCTTCCTCCCACAAATGTTTGTCAAACTCCCACTAAGTTTGGTACAAGGCCACAGTGGTGAAAGAGAGCTTTGAGATGGACCTGATGTCCTGTGAAGAGGCTGTTTGGCCAATTTGAGTGATGGGAACTGTGATAACTTGGTCTGGAGAATGGTCAGGGGAGAGGCCTTGTGAGTCTTAAGAGAGAGGAGGATATTTAAGACTCTCTAGTGCATCCTTTGTTCTGCAGTCAAAACTTGAGAGTCCCGCATACACAAGTATAATTGAACTATTTCAACATAATTGCAAACCTGAAGAAACCTTTCATACAGTAACTGTGGGCAGGTACCTGAGCAGCCTGCTCCAGCCGTGGCTGAATTCCCCTTACCTAGATCACAACAGGGGTGAAAATAGGACTCCTGCCTTCTAACTCCGTGTCCAGGGCTGCTGTTGTAACACACAGGTCTTCCTGGTTCCCCCAGACCCTGTCAGCCCAGCACCTCAACCACGTTGTGCCACGTCAAAGAAAGTTAAACTACCCTGAAAGAATCGGGTGTTTGAGAGCAGAGGAAACCAGGCAGTAGAAATAGTCGTGAAATTTACGCAGACTTCTTGGCAGCCAAAAGTCTGGGGGGGAGCTGCTCTGCAAGTGTACCATCTTTTTGGTCCTCACCCCCCTGGGGTTTCGTAGGAGACAGAATTCAGTCCTTGGGACTTTGGAATTTCTACTATTTTAAAATGTTAGCAACAAATTAAAGATGTTTATTTACTTACAGTTTTCTCCGTTTCCTGTATATGAAGACAGATTTTATTATGGGTTGATTTATTGTGGGGTATCTTAGCACACCTGAATGCCGTTTAAAAAAGAAAAACAACAACAAAAAACCCCACTATGATGTTGTAAAAGACTCATCCAATTTAAACTTCTGTTTTTTTTATTTTACAGGATTTGGGTCTAGTAATACTGGTTCTTTGTTTGGTCAAGCAGCCAGTACTGGCGGAACAGTCTTTGGCCAGGTAAATATGTATGTTTGCATCCTTTCATGTCCGCATATATCAAACCATCCATGTTGTTCATATATTATATCTCTCACACATTTGTATTGTCCACCCAACCCCAGCAGACAGCCTTGTGTGATTCTCGAACTCCGCCTTCCTTAGCTCCCCTGGGGATGTAGACATCTCAGCCTCTAATACGAGAGAATCACTACAGTTTTGATCTTTTGAAAGCACTTTAAAAACACATTGCCTCTTCCCATCAATCTTCTGCCTGTTCTCTTCGGCCAGGGGTTGGCAGGCAACGGCCCATGGGCTAAATTTGCTCCTTGACCTTTTTTTTTTTTTTTTTTAAGGTTCTTGAGCTAAGAATAGTTGTTACCTTTTAAATGGTTATTTGAACAAAAAGAAGAGTATGCAATAGAAACCACAGATGACCCCTGTGCTAACTGTGTGTAGTCCAGCGACTCCTTTTAGTCACCTGGGCTATTAGAGTTTGTATGGCTGGTGCTTATATGTGCTGGGTGTGGTTTTTAAGCAGTTCATGCAGATTGACTCATGTCATCATCAGTGCTCTGTAGGTGCTGTTATTACCCTCATTTGACAGGCGAGGCCACTGAAGGCCCAGAGAGGTTCAGTTTACTGCTTTTAGGTCCTAGTAACCTCATGAGGAGTCTTTCCAAAGAAAGGGACTCTGATATATCAGAAATGATTGTAACTTTCTGAAGGTGGAACCGGTATTTGCCAGGTAGTCCATAAAGCGGTGGGCATGTTTCTTACACATCTTCAGTAGGAGATTTTCTTTATCCTCTCTCTTCTTAGAAGATGGTCCCCGCCCTAGTCGGTGCCCCTTGACAGAGAGAAATGAAACTTCTGATTTCCAGGTTCTGGTGATGGCGGGCTAGATAAATCAAACCCAGCTCCCCACTGAAAACAGCTAACAATGCCAGATGATACATAAAAACCATACCTTTAAAAGCACTGTTAAGCTAACAAGGTATTTTGCCAAGCTAAATTAAAAGGAAAATGGGAACCTGTAGAAGTGAGTGGAGCACAGAATTTCCTATTTTAATAATCCCAAAGAGCAAAGGGGCAGAAATCCCTAAGCAACATCTGCACAAAGCGAGAGATGCTCCCCACAATAAGCTGGGGCTCCAAGTTCACCTGTCTCCACGTGTGGGTTTGGCCTGATATGATCCTAGAATGGTGGTGTCTGGCAAAAGCAGACACTGAAGAAAAGTCACTTTGCTCTTGGCCTTAGATAATTTGTTTAATTAAAGTATTGTTGGCATACAGTACTATATTAGGTTCAGGTATAAACATGGCGATTCAGCATTTATCTTACAGTGTACTCACCATACCAAGTCTGGAAACTGCCTGTCCCTGCAGACTCCTCACGCTGTTATTGACTGTATCCCCTTCACCTCACAGTTTTAAGGACATTGATTCCCACACCTAAACGAAACTAAACGAAACAAGGAATTATGATCAAGAGCCAGAATAAACATCAGACATACATTTGCACAGACTTCCTAGACTGTAAAACAGGTGTTTTACATGTTTAAAAGAAATAGAAGACAAACTTGAAAATACCAGGAAAGAATAGGAAATTATAAGAAGTGTCATAGCAGCTTTGGAAAATAACTAAATAGAACTTCTAGAGACATATAATAATTAAAATGTTAAGCCAGCAGATTAGAAGACAACAGTAATATACTAGACCAGGTAGCAGCAACATTTTTCTGTGAGGAGCCTGATGGTAAATATTTTAGACTTGGAGGGCATGGTTATGATCCCATAAAGCTTTATTGACAAAAACGGATAGCGGGCTGGATTTGGCCCATGGACTATAGTTGGCTGACCCTTGAACTAGAAGGCTGGTCAGATGAAGTCATCTGGAATGCCTCATGGAGAGCAAAAAAGGTGGAAGATACAAAGGAAAGAGCGAAAATCCAACATACATTTAATCAGAAGGAGAAGAGAAAGAATGTATGGCAATATTGGAAGAGAAAAAGACAGAAATTCCCAAAACAAATAGAAAACAGTAAGCTACAGATTCAGTCAGAAGTCCAGCAGATACCAAGCAGAATGCATAAAAGGAAATTGATTCCAACACCTGTCATAGTGAAACTGCAGAAGCGCAAAGATAAAATATTAAAAGCACTTGGAGATAAAAAGACAGGTTACCTTCAAAAGATCAGTGGTTGAACTGACAGCTGACTTCTTAGTGGTAACGATGAAAGCCAGAGATAGTCTACCTACCTAGAATTTCTGAACCCAGCAAAAAATATCTTTAAAGAATGAAATCAAGACATTTTTCAGATAGATCTGAATTTATGCCTGGGAGACCTGAAGGAAATTCTAAAGGATATTCCTCAGGCAGAGGGGAAAATTGACTTCACTAAAATTACAGCTCTCTTAATTTTAGGGCAAAATAAGCCATGAAATAGGAAGATTGTAGCCTATATAACCAAAAGCATAATTATATTGAGAATATATAAGCCATACAACTCGCAAAGAGGAAAGACAACTACACCCCAGCAAAATGACTAAAATCGAAAGGGCCAATCACACCCAGTACTGGTGAGGAAGTAGTGATAGAAACGCTCCCACACTGCTAAGGGAGTGTGAATTCACATAACCGCTCTGGAAAACCGTCTGGTGGTACAAGACTGGACACACAGAATCCCTCCTGGCCCAGCAGATCGTCTGGATGTGCAACCAACAGAAACGAGTGCCTTAGTTCACAAGGTAGGGATTAGAATATTCATAGCAGTGTATTCAGAACAGCGGAAAAGGAAACAGCCCAAACGCGTATCAGCTGAAGATTGGAATAAAGTACTGGTGGTATATTTATACAGTGGGGTTACTACAAAGCAGTGAAATTCAACAGACTACTCCTGTCCGACACTAAATGGATGCGTCCCGCAGGCGTAGTGTGAAGCGAAAGAAGCCAGACACATGAGTACATATTGTTGGATTGCATTCACCCAGAGTCAGTCACAGGCAAAATGGAGCCACCAGGGTAGAGATCGGAGTAAGAGTTACTCTTAGGCCATTCAAAATGGGGTGCGAAGAAGCCTTCTAAAGCGCTGACAGTGTTAGATATCTTCAACATTCTAAACATCAAAATTCATTGAGCTCTCTACACATAAAATTTGTGGACTTAATAAAAAACACAATAGAAAGAAAATAGGCAAAAGACTTCATAAAAAAAGGATAGTGTTGGTTGCACAACATTTTGAATGTACTTAATGCCACTGAATTACACATTAAAAATGCTTAAAATGGTAAGTTTTATGTATACTTCACAATTTTTTCAAAAAGAAGAAGAAGAAAGCAAAAAAATGTATATGAAGGATAGCCAGAGGACCTGTAAACACACTCAGATGAATTAGCAATGCAAATTAAAACCACAAAGAGATGCACACCTGTGAGACAGCAAAAATTAAAAGCCCAATAATAGCAGGTGCCAGTGAATATGCAGCAGAACTCAACGTACACTCCTGGTTGGGGGCGTGAGTTGGTACAACCATCTTGGAAAATAGTTTGGCGTGATCTAGTAAAGACCAGCCATTCCACTCCTAGGTATGTTCTTCGGAGAAACTCATGCACATGTGTGCTAGGATACCAGAGTGTTCATAGTAACCGGAAACTACACACACCCAAAAGTTCATCAACCTTCCAGTGGGTAAATGGGCTTGTGTTACTGTAGTTACCCAGCTGAGAAAATGAACAACGTAACTAATGAGTCACAGGCATGATGGCAGAATGTCGAGCCAAGAGATAGAAACCTTACTGTGAAAAACCCCATATCGGTTACTTAGCCTCCCATTATCCTTCACAGAAATTACATTTGCAGTTGGAGGGGCCAGAAATTCAAACCAATATTTTTTCTGTGATGGCAGGGACCTGATCTGTTACAGTCAGTGCTCTATCCCCAGTGCTGAGGACTGTGGCTAGCTCTTGATAGACACTGTAAAAATGAACAAATTTTCAGGTAATAGGGGTGTCCACAGAAAAATCTAAGGATGCAAGGCAGATTCTGGCTAGGATATAGAATACCTCCACTCTTGTTATAACACACAAAACCAGATAGTGTGAAAAATCACACTTATTCTATAGGTATTGGAATTCCCTAATGCTATGTAACCAATTACCCCCAAACCTATAGTGTTTATTTATATTTGTTTGTTTACCTCTGGTGAGTGGCTTGGCTGTTGGTTCAGACCTTAACTGGAGCTCTTGGCTAGAACATCTGCATGTGGCTTCTCTGTGTGGCCAAGGCTTGCTCACAACATGGTGGCTGCATTCCAAGGAGGAATATTCGAGAGAGGACACCATGCAGAAGCCGCATAACCTTTTATGACCTAACCTCAAGTCACAGAGCATCATTTATGCTGCACCCTCTTATTCAAGGCAGCCACTGAGTCCGCCCAGGTCCAAGGGAGAGGGAACCAGCCTTCACCTCTTGCTGTAGAAGAGCATATGAGTTTAGAAATATTGCTGAACCATCTTTGAAAAATACAGTCTGTCACAGCGGGACTGTCAAAGTATGGCAGAAGGCCTTGTTAAATTGCTTTCCAGAGAGAGGGGCCCATCGTAGGTGAGCACAGTGGTACAGCAGCTTCTGGGGGCAAATGTCAGGTCTGGGTTTGGAAAGGTGGAAGAGAGGTCCTGCTGAAGATTGGGGAAATGTACTGGCTGGAGAAGAAGCTATTGGGGACAATAGGGGCAAGCAAAAAAAGTGACCAATAAACACGTGAAAAGATGATCAATAGCGTTAAACATTAGGAAAAGGAAAATCAAAACCGTAATGTACCATGTCACACCCCTAGAATGGCTATAATTTTAAAAAAAAAGAACAAGTATTGACAAGAATGTGGAAAAATTGGAACCCTCGTGTGTTTCTGGTTAGAAAGTAAAATGATGCAGCTGCTGTTGAAAACGGTTTGGTGGTCCCTCAGAAAGCTAAACATAGAATTGTCATATGACCCAGCAATTCCACCCCAAGTGTGTAC